TCCTCAGTCACTTCTGGCTCTTCCCCCAGGCCTCCCTGTCCATGTATTTACCTTAGACTCTGTCTTTCTTCAGGTCAGTTTGCTTAAGAACCGACTTGACAAACCAGTCTGTTTTACTCAACAAACCAGTATGTTTTGCTCATGCAAATGTTCTCTTAAGCTATGTTAATGAGACTATGTTATTCCTTGGAAAACGGCCTTTCTCCAAGACATATGTCAATCGTTTTATGGCCCAGGATGACTCACCTTGTGCCCATGTTATCTCAAAATGCATGTTGTGGGTGAGGAGCCTGGCGCCACTGTCTGAGTTTTGAGACACTTCCTTTCTCTAATTAGCATCCTGCTAGTAGGCATGTAACTCCCTGCTAAAGGCTAGCAGGGAGGCACTCTTTACCTCTGCATCACCAGGGAAGCATCAGGGGGGCACTCTTTCTGCCTGCTCCTGATGTCTACGTCAGAAGCTTTCTTTACCTCTTTTATAAAACTTTATTACCCAAAACCTCTGAGTGATCAAGCCTCGTCTGCTTTTGAACTGTGGTGTTGGAGAAGACTCTTGAGAGTCCCTTGGACTGCAAGGAGATCAACCCAGTCCATCCTAAAGGAAATCAACCCTGAATATTCATTGGAAGGACTGATGCTGAAGCTGAAGCTATAATACTGTGGTCATGTGAACTGAAGATCCAGCTCACTGGAAAAGACCTTGATGACAGAAGAAACTGAAAGCAAATGAAGAAGGGGGCAGCAGAGGATGAGATGGTTGGGCAGTATCACTGAGTCAGTGGACATGAGTTTGGGCAAGCTCCGGGAGAGGGTGACGGACAGGGAAGCCTGGCTCGCTGCAGTCCATGGGGTTGCAGAGTCGGACAGGACTGAGGGACCGAACAGCAACAACACGTGACATATCCAGGGTCGGAAAATCCAGAGACAGAGGGAGGTTAGTGGTCACCAGGACTGCGAGGAGGCGGCAGGAGGGAGGAGTGCCAGCTCAGTGGGCACAAAGCTCCTTTTTGTGGGGATGAAAAGGTACTAAGCTCGACAGTGACAGTAGCAGGACTGTGAATGTACTAAAAGCCACCAAACTGGACATGCTCAAAGGGCGAAAGCTTCACGGTATGTGACTTGTAAGTCAATGAAGCTATTATTGAAAAGTACACTCGGGGCTTCCCTGGTGGCTCAGTGGTAAAGAATCTGCCTGCCAAAGCAGGAGACACGGGTTCAATCCCTGATTCGGGAAGACCCCACATGCCGTGGGGCCGCTAAGCCCGTGTGTCACAGCTACTGAGCCTGTGCTCTAGAGCCGGGGAGCCGCAACTACTGAACCCGTGTGCCCTAGAGCCGGTGCTCTGCAACAAGAGATGCCACCGCAGTGAGAAGCCCGCGCACGGCAACAAACAGCCCCCCTCGCCACAACTAGAGAAAGCCTGTGCGAAGTATCAAAGACCCGTGTAGCCAAACAGAAACACACAGGCTCTGATATCGGGTAACTCCAACTAAATGCTCAAGATCTGAGTGACATACTTTAGACTCCTGGCCTCTGAGACCTTTATTCCAAGGACACCCTGGCCCTCCTCTCCTGTCCCACTCCTTCCCCACGCTTTTTCTTCTTTTCAGAGACAGCCTACTTATCCTACCCTAACTAACTGGAAAATCTGGTCCCTTCCAAGGAAAGTTTTTTGTTGACATACTTACTCCTCCAGGCAGGAGTAACTGTTCTCTCAGCACCTAATATACAAACGTCTAGAACGTTTTCGCTGATACTAGAGTTCAGTAGTCACGTCTCTACTGCACACATTGTGAGCTCATCTCGTTAAGTTTTGTATTCAGTTATGAGCACAGTGCCCTGCTAGTGAGTTTCCAAAAGATGTTCAGTAAAGGCTTTCTTTTTTGCAAAACTAGCATTTGTACAAACATTTTATAAACAATGTATAAAATGATACTGTCACATATAATTATCTGGTTGAATCTTTTATTACTGCGATGTTGATGAATAAAACCAGTGAGTCCAAGAAGAGAATTAATTGGGCATTCCTCATCGCATTGCCTCCCTGGTTGGCTCAGAGGGTAAAGCGTCTGCCTGCAATGCGGGAGACCCAGGTTCAATCCCTGGGCTGGGAAGATCCCCTGGAAAAGGAAATGGCAACCCACTTCAGTATTCTTGCCTGGAAAATCCCATGGACGGAGAAGCCTGGTAGGCTACAATCCATGGGGTCGCAAAGAGTTGGGACACGACTGAGCGACTTCACTTTCTTTCTTTTTTCCATCGCATCGCTAAAACAAGTTGGGACTTTTCCATATGGGATGTAGAAGTTTGTATCTTTATTAATGAACATCTGTAAATGTACTGAGAATCAACTGTGCAAATCAGCACACGACCTTTATGCAGGTATGTGGATATCCTTTGATATTCATATTTATTCACACACACTTTTCACAGTAAAGTAAAATAACATAGGCAAGACAATGATTTTTGTTGCTAGGAGGTCTGCTGATAAGCATTCTTTTTTAAAAACATAGTCCTATTTCAAGTGTTTTGAAGAAAAAGAATAACCCTTTCTAAGATAGGGGTTGCAAACTCCAATACCAATAAGAGTCATCAACTGAAAAGCATCTTCAAAACAGAGCACCGTCACTTAAGAGTATCTTTTGGCAAAAAAGCAACAGCAGTGTTTGTCTGCAGGAAGGGAACTGGGTGGTAAGGGACAGGTGTAGAAGGAAGGTTTCCTGTCCACACAGTGTTTTTATGCCTTTAAAACCTTGTATCAAGCACATTATTTAATCTATAAAATTGGCTTTTTGGCTCCAGCTAACTATCACTATTAAGGAATGCATGCCTGGGGTTGCCAGATCGGATCTTTCAAAGAAGTTGGAAATGGGAAAACTCACATTTTTATGTAAAATTCATACTTTTTAAAACGTTGGCTTCATTCAGGATTTAACACATGGGCGGCCAAACAAAACACACGTGTAAGCCATATCTGGTCACAGCCCAACCAGTTTACCATCTCTAATCTAAAACCTATGTGTGGCTTATGATGGCAGAACTATAAATGTACTTTAATGGAGGAAAACTTCAAAAAGAAAACTCAAGACTTGTGGATGAGATCACTCCCCCTTCCTGCCCTACCATCTCACTGCTATTGCTTTCTTAAACTGCCCCTTCTTCTGGGTCTTTGAAAAGGCAACTAATGTTTGACTGACTAAAACGCAAAACAAGCCACGTTTGATCAACGAATCTACCCTTTATCCTAGCATCCGGTCTGTTTTAAAAGAGTGAAACATGGTAGGCAGAGGCGATGGGGTCAATATCAAGTTGCAATTCTTCTAGGCAACCAAAGAGAAGTATATGAATTATTTCTAGGTGGGTGGAAAAATTCCCCCTGCCAGCTAGTCAAATGCCTGCGTGGTTCAAAAGACCTGTAAGTTTTTGTCCCTCACCATCAGCCCTGTTCAGGAGACAAAATGCAGCCTTGATCAATATAACATTCTGAACCTTCTCCCGGAAGCCAATCACAGCTCTGGGGGAAATCTCACCGTCTCTTAAAGGCCTGAAGAGATGCCAGTTACCTGCTGAGAACAATGCTAAGAGATTCTGTGTGGGCCTGATCACAGTCACAAGTGGAAGACTGCATCTGCTGGATGCCCAGAGGACACCAGGGCAAGACAAGGGAGAGTTGCTTTTGGTTCCACGACAAGCACGAGAGAAGTGCCATCACGCCTCTGTGGTGAGGTGAACACTCTTACTTCCATCTGCTGAGAGCTTCGCAAGATTTCACTTTGGTATTTCTGTGTGGTTTTCCTATACCCAGTGCTGGGTCCACTCTTACCAACAGCAGTCTTTTCACCACCAGCTAGTCTGCTGTTTGGCCTGACCACCACTCACTGACCCCTGGGGCCTCCCCCAATAGTGAGGATACACAACCCCAGACGGTAATCAATGAACAGGACTAGGGGGTTGAAGGTAACTCTGCAAATGTCCTACAACTGAAGGATACAGGCTCCCAGGCTTTTGTGTGGCTCGGGGAAACGCTATGACGGGCCACGTTTTCCTAAGAGCTTCTTTACCCAGGTTACTGTGGGGGAGGGCTGGGTTGGGGGGATGTGTTGATTTCACCTCATTCATCCATTCTGAGGGCTTCCCTGGTGGCTCAGATGGTAAAGGATCTGCCTGCAATGCAGGAGACCTGGGCTCGGTCCCTGTGTCGGGAAGATACCCTGGGGAAGGGAATGGCAACCCACTCCAGTATTCTTGCCTGGAGAATCCCATGGACAGAGGAGCCTGGTGGGCTACAGTCTATGGGCTCACAGAATCAGACACGACTGAGCGACTAAGCATCCCCCTCGAGGAACTGTCTCGCTAAGTGACTGGGCAGTGCCACACATATGCAGCATACTCTTTGCTGAGAACAGCGAGCATTTGGAAAAGCAAAATGATCATCTACCCTGTAATCCCAGTCTTTAAAAAACAAACAAACCATGATTGTAGCAACCCAGGAAATTAAGATTTGCAAAATATTCTAAATGGCAGGCAAAACAAAACTCTCTTAGGTTGTAACTGAGGAAGCCACTTCACGGTGGGCTTCAGGGGCCCAAGAAGACAGACTCACTTGTGAAATAAAAACCAGGCATGTTCTTGCTGAACATGGCCAGAGTCCAGTGTCTTCCCTGACTTGCATTTTGATGTATGGACATCACAGCCAACTCTGCAACGGTCACAGGCATGCTGCTCGATAGAAAGAACCTGGGTGCTTGGAAGTCGACAACCCGCAGTTTCTTCATCAGCAGTCTTGTGCATTTGGCGCCCACCACACAGCAACCTGCACACAGCAGCATCCAGCATCTGCGAAAGGCTCACTTACTGACGACTAGCAGACTGGCTCAGCAGTTTGGTTCTAAGGAGAACATTCACGATTAACCGCTTCCTTCCCTTTCTGTAAATCTGAATACCAAACAGGTTTTAGACACATCTGTCTTCTGAACAAGATGCTTGTCCTAAGTCTTACCTCAGCAGCCTGGGTCTCTTGATGCAGCAACGTAAGACCGGTCAAGTCCTCTAGGAAGGAATGTGAAGAATTAAACACCTTCGCCAGGAAATTAAATCCTTCTCGTTCATACTGATCGAGAACCTGTAAAGACATTTATGAGTGAAAGTGTTACTCACTCAGATGTTTCCAACTCTTTCTACCCCATGGACCATAGCCTTCCAGGCTCCTCTGTCCATGGAATTCTCCAAGCAAGAATACTGGAGTGAGTAGCCATTCCTTCTCCAGGAGATCATCCTGACGCAGGGATTGAACCGGGGTCTCCTGCATTGCATGTGGATTCTTTACTGTTAAGGTCACCATGGAAATATATTATATATATATATATGTTAAGGGGGAGGTGGGATTTAAATGCATATTAAAAGATTTTTACTTCTAATAATCACCTGCCAAAAATGGAACTAAAACAAGAATTAAAAATTAAATATGGGAAAAATCAATCTGTTGGGCCAAAAACAGTGAGGGTTTAGTATTTATGATTTTCTCTTTCTTAGAAAGAACGACAATACCATCTTCCAATTCAGATGACAGTAGTTGTCAGACAAAATAAGTTACAAGCAAATGCACTAACAATTTCAGTAGGAGAGCAGAGGTTGCTGACCCTAAGGTTCACTTTTCAGGAGGAAAGTAACAGGCAATTCCTTCCTGGTGCACGGACAGATGGATGGATGGAGAGACTGTGGTACAGACACACCCTGCGACACCAGCCATGAAAGAGGACGGGTGTGAGTCGGCTGAGGCTGGGCGGATGAGCCCAGAGCTTGTTGCACGGGGTGGAGTGAGCGGGAAAACACACCCTGGACACTAAGGTGTGCACATGAACGCTAGAGGAACGGCACTGATGGACCCGTGCGCAGGACAGGAGCAGAGACACAGACGGCAAGAGTGGCCCGTGGACACAGCGGTGGGGAAAGGGTGTGACACGTTGAGAGCGCAGCGCTGCCATATGTGCGCTGCCGTGTGTCCGACAGGCAGCCAGTGGGGGCTGCTGCACAACACAAGCCTAGCTGGTGCTCTGTGATGACCCAGAGCGGCAGGAGGAGGGTGCTGGTGAGAGGGAGGCTCCAGAGAGAGGTGATACATGTATATTTATAGCTGATTCACGTTGCTGCATGGCAGAAACACAACACTGTAAAGCAATTATCCTCCAATTAAAAACAAATGAATAAAAGAACAAACAAACAAAATTATGGGCAAGAGAAGAGCCAAGGAAAGATTTTTTTAAGGATAAAGGGAAAGGAAGGGACAAAAGGTGGGAAATGAGACCCACCAGTTAGTCAAATGCATTAAAAATGATTTTTTTTTAATGTAAAAATGAATTTCACCAGGCATATCACAAAAAAGTTGCCCAAACAGTCAATAAACATATGAAAAGTTGCTCAACATTACAAGTGACAACTAAAAACCACAATGAACGACTACTTTATACCTACCAGAGTGGCTAAGATGAACAAGACAGAAAATACCAAGTACTCACAAGGATATAGAACAACCATCATTCTCATGGGAAGACAAAATAAGATAACCATCTTAGACATTTATTATTTATATGCCATGTGATCAAGAGATTCTTAAAGAAGGCTGAGCGCCAAAGAATCAATGTTTTTGAACTGTAGTGTTGGAGAACACTCTTGACAGTCCCTTGGACTGCAAGGTCCAACCAGTCCATCCTAAAGGAGATCAGTCCTGAATATTCACTGGAGGGACTGATGCTGAATCTGAAGCTCCAATACTTTGGCCACTTGAAGCAAAGAGCTGACTCATTTGAAAAGATCCTGATGCTGGGAAAGACTGAGGGCAGGAGGAGAAGGGGACGACAGATGGTTGGATGGCATCACAGACTCAACGGACATGAGTTTGAGCAAGCTCTGGGAGATGGTGAAGGACAGGGAAGCCTGGTGTGTCCATGGGGATGCAAAGAGTTGGACAGGACTGAGCGACTGAACAACACCAACAAACAAAAAAATGTGCACAGAGGTGCATCAGAAGACCTGAACAAAAGTGTCCACAGCAGCACCATTCATGACAGCCCCAACGAGGAACTACCCAAGTGTCCATCAACAGTAGACTGAATTAACAAATTGTGGCTTATTCATGCAATGGAATAACACACAGACATGAAAACGTATGACAACTACCAACAACAATATAGATAATTCTCACAAACAACATTAAACAAAAGGGAGAAGCAGTATATACTACAGGATTACAACAATATAAAGTTTCAAAAAATGAACCTGTGCTGTTAGAAGTCAGGAGTGTGGTTATGCAGTGAAGGACTGTAATTGGAATAGGGCACAGGGGAGGGTCTGAGGTGCTGGTAACTTTATCTCTTTTATCTGGGTTCTGGTTACAAAGGCACACCTGTTGAAAAACCATCAGGCACTTTTTCATATATACATTGTCCTTTGATCAAAAGATCAAAAGAGGGACTTCCCTGGTGACCTGCCCACCAGTGCAGGGATGAGGGTTTGATCCCTGGTCCAAGAAGGTCCCACATGACACAGAGCAGCTAAGCCTGTGCACCGCAGCTGTGAACCTGCGCGCCCCAACTGCTGAGCCCCTGCGCCCTAGAGCCTCCGCAACAAGAGAGGCCAGCACAGTGAGAAGCGCGAGCACCGCATCTAAGAGTACCCCGGTTCGCTGCAACTAGCGGAGCTCACACAGAGCCACCACGACCCAGCGCAGCCAAAAGCAAAGAGGTTAACTGATTTAAAAAACACCAAAAGATATGAGACCGGCAGTCTTTTGAGAAGAAGAATATAAGAACATGACTACTTAAAAGTGATTACCACACTTAGGAATTCAATGATCACAGAAACTGTGAATTACAGAAGGCACACAGTGAACCAGAATGTCTTGGAAATTCTCTCAAAACTCAGAGGAAATAAACAGACGACTGCTTCAAATACACAGCAGACACTGATGATACATCCCAGCAATTAACACATGAACGGGAAGGTTGGAAAAGCAATGACACAAAATACAGAAAAAATAATTTTAAAAAAATTTCTCCATGCAGAAATGAAAATGTGTAAGTCCTTCAATCCAGCAATTCCACTTCAAAGACTTTTCAAAGAATTTTTGCTGTTGTTGAGGCTTGCGGAATTGTGATCCCCTCCTCCTTCCCAATATTCTTTAATATTGAGAGGGTGACAGGCAGGAAGGCCAGGGTTCTCCAAACAGAGGAAACAGGCTACAAGCGTCAGACATTTTTTATCTCTCTCTTAAGTGGCAGGAGGAAACAAACTACTAGTGTTGTATTTTTTCCCCTTCACTATACAAATTTAAAAAGAGGTTTCTTTTAAAATTCTGTGTTGCCATGATGATACCTGGTTCCACCTGAACTTTTTTCAAACCTCGCGCTAACCAATGTATTTTTCTTATGGAAATGTTTGTCTTAAGCTATGTTAACGAACTATGTATTTACCCTAGACTCTGTCTTCAAATAGATTTTGACAAACCAATATGTTTTACTCATGCAAATGTTCTCTTAAGCTATGTTAATGAGACTGTATTTGCTTGGAAACCTACCTTTCTTCAAGATTCATGTCAATCATTTTATGGCCCAGGACAACTCACCTTGTGCCAATGTTATCTCAAAATGCATGTTGTGGGTGAGGGGTCTGGTGCCCCTCTCTGAGTTTGAGACATTTCCTTTCTCTAATGAGCAGACTGCTAGTAGCTATATAACATCAGGCCAAAGACTAGCAGGGGGCACTCTTTCTGCCCCCTTCCGATGTCTATGTCAGAAGCTTTCTCTAACTCTTTCATACTTTAATAAAAATATTACACAAAAGCTCCGAGTGATCAAATCTCGTCACTGGCCCCGGACTGAATTCCTCTCCTCCGGAGGCCAAGAACCCTGGCGTCTTTCATGTTTCAGCAACAACCTTTCAGTATTCAGCTATTTTTTCTTTTATAAGGTGAACATTTTAAAGAAAATCTGACGACGAGCATGTTGACTCTTCAGTGGCATGCCCACCCCACCCCCACTTAAATCCTGCTTGTTATTGTTCAGTCGCTCAGTCGTGTCCCACTCTTTTCAGCCCCATGGACTCTAGCCGGCCAGGCTCCTCTGTCCATAAGATTTCCCAACCAAGAATACTAGAGTGGGTTGCCATTTCCTTCTCCAATATCTCGTTTGCACGGGCACAAAGGCTGATGTGCAAGCATGCTCACAGCAACACCATTTGTAACAACAAAAGATTCCAAATAACCACCCCTTTAAAGGGTGCTGACTGCAGTATATTTACAGTCAAAGACATAATCATGTCACATTAAAAGAATGAGGCATTTCTACAGTACTGATATAAACTGATTTCCAAGACAGAGATGTATTAAAAAGCAATATCCAGACCATGAATCTAGTACTAATGCTTTCAAAATAAAGGTGGAGGAGAGGAAGAAAGGGAAATGCACATATGCATGGGCTTGTTTTTGCATATAGTATCCCTGGAGGAACACACACACACACACATGCCTGACAACAAGTAGTTGCCTTTGTATATTCTTTTACACTACTTGGGTGTTTTTAAACCATGTGCACATATTACCTATTCATATAATATCATAATCTCAAATTATTACCCTCCCCCTTTGGTACCAGAGAAAGGTCTTAAAAGAAAAGGATGAAGAACTCTAACGTCCTAATGAGGAAGTTGGAGCTGGGGGGAGCAGTGGCTCCTTGTGGGCACAGGAAATGTGTAGGAAGGCACCAGGGAAGTCGCTGCAGTGCTAAGTTAAGGAGAATAGGGAGCTGGGTGCTGGGGAGCTCTAGGGTCTGGACAGGGAGGTCCAGTGAGGACCAGTCAGCTCTAGAGTCAGGCGGTGAGGTCATCTGCTGCCAGAGAAGGGGACACATGGTGGGCCATGGAGCTTGAGGAGGGTAGTGATGGTCTGGGACAGCAGGGCGGAGAATGGGAGAGGGGCAGGTGATTAGTGGTGCACAAAAGCACTGGACAATCTAAAATCCCCGTTTGGGACAAAAAACATGAGTTTGGGGAGAAAGATATTTAACATTCCACTGAAGCTTGGGGACTGGCCAGAAAGGGTCAAAGAATCTGAGGCGCTAGTGAGTAATT